CTCCCTCCCTCCCTCCCTCCCTCTCTCCCTTTCTCCCTTCCTTCCTCCCTTCCTCCCTTCCTTCCTCCCTTCCTTCCTCCCTTCCTTCCTTCCTCCCTCCCTTCCTTCCTCTCTCTCTCTCTCTCTTCCTCTCTCTCTTTCGGCAATAAACTCAAGGATTTGTGATTCCTGAGGTGATACAATAATAGCCTCAAGTTGTGCCAGGAGAGATTCAGGTTGGGTGTTAGGGCAAATTTATTCCCCAGAAGAATGGTCAGGCACTGGAATGGGCTCCCCAGGGAAGTGGTTGAGTCACCATCCCTAGAGGTGTTCAAGGGAAGCATTTTGATGTTGTACTGGGGGACATGGTTTGGAGGGGAAATATTGGTGGTGGGTAGACTGTTGGTCTGGATAATCTTGGAGGTCTTTTCCAACATTGGTGATTCTATGATTCTAATGATTCCCATTAATTATAATGGATGGTGCTCTCAAATCCACAAAAATTTATATTTCTCCGTGGTAAAGCACCAATGCAATTAAAGCAGTGCAAGAGCAAGAAGAGAATATTCCCTGAGAGCCCCAGACCTCCTTGTGTAGATCATGTCTCTGGTGTATGGTAGCAGAGCCTGGTAAGGATCACTAAGAGAATTTCAGGCCAAAATGGGAATCCATTTCTAGCTGTGGGAACTCCAGGAACAGTGCACATTTGAGCCACCCATGGGTGCTCCATCTACCTTCAGCTCCAGAAATAACCTCTGAAATAGAGGTGTGTAAAAGTAACTTAAAACTAAAGGACCTTTCCAGGGAGAGGAGCTTTAATCCTTAGCCACGATCTGCATGAAGTAAGCAGCACCCTTGGAATGGCACTTTCCCCATAAATCTGCTTCCCCTCAGCATCAGCTCTTTTCTAGATGTAGTTCAGTGTGCTCTATTCATAGTTCAGAAAGCAATCCGTGCTGAGCTGGGTTTACTTCAGGCATTTAATCCAATAGCAGTGACCTCCAGAGAGCCTTCTCACACTGCTCTTTGTGCTGTAACTCAGCAGTGACAGAACGACGTGGGAGAGGTTGAAGCCTTGCCCAGGACCCACAGCTGTATCTAACCTGGCTGCCCCATGCCTGGGCACAAGCTGTGGGTTCTCCTGTTCCACTCTGGGCTTCTTCCTGGATCTGTGGGAACAGGAATGTGGGATGTCACATGGGCAATGCCACACACAACAGGTAAAACTTCAGTGCTGCTGCTACATGTATAGAAGGAGTCTGCACTGCTGGACTGCTGTGCGGGATGTTGTGAAGTCGCCATCCCCGGAGGTGATCAAGAACTGTGTGGATTTTGCACTGAGGGATGTGGTCTGTGGGCAATGCTGGTGGTAGGTAAAGGTTGGACTAGATGATCTTAGAGGTCTTTTCCAACCTTAATGATTCTATGATCTGTCCATAATTCCAACAAGGTAGTCTCGTCCATATGATAGAGTTGGGGCTGAGGTACAAAGGGCTATTGCTTTCTGTATCTTTGTAACCATTTATCCCTATTCCTTATGCCTTTGTCACATCCTTCTCACAGCTATGAGTTACTGTCACTGAAGACTGGAAGCAATTTACTGCCACCTACGCACAAGTAGCTAATTATAGCCCAGGAGCAGGCAGAAGGAGCCAGGTACATTATGAATCTGTTTTTATTAATGAGCAAGCAGCTAGGCTGAAGATTTCCAATTATGCTCTGTGTGTCAGCAGCAGATTTGCTATGTCCTGGCTTCTTTTTCAGGAACGAGTACAGCAGTCCTGCAGTGTAGATGTATGTTCCCAGTAGGGATGGGGCTATAACTGATGAGTGACAGAGCCCTGAAAGAAGTGCACCATACTCTCAAACACCATGTGCCATTGTCCATTGGCCTTTAAATGCCCATTAACACCCACTAATTTTGATATCTTTTGTGGAAGAAGGACAGAAACTCATTTGGTGGTGATGTGAGCTTTAGGCATTTATTCTCTGAAAGAGCTCTCTTGCTTGGAGTCGTGACTTCCTGCTTTTCCTTCCTTGCATAAGCAGTGCTGTTGCCTCTGGCTATCCAGAGCTTGGTTTCTCCTCAATCACCACTATTGGTGTAAGCACTAATAGCACTTTAAACATGCCAGCCTTTGCAGAGTCAGATAGGACTGGCAGGGCTGGGCTGAGGTTTCGCACAGCCAGAATTGCTGGGGCACATCCCATCAGTCCTGCAACTTTATCCAGAACAGGGCACTGGGGAGCACTGGAGGGGAGGCCATACTCCTCTTCCTACCTAGCAAATCAAATGTGAAGAAGGGATCGCACAATCTGAGGCCTCTGCAATAGTGGAGCACTGCTAAATGTGTCTGAGTTTACATCTGGGTCTGATGAGTTTAATATCAGCCATCAAACATAATAGAGCAGACTGTCTGAATTTCCTTCCTGGGATAATAAGATATACTGAAGTAGGAATGATTCTTTTCATGTTAATAAACTGACTGAGTGCTTTTCATTGCATTGGCACTGTGAGGAATTTGAACTCAATTCAGAACAAAGCCCTTGATCTGCTAGCAGGCTGAGTGGATGTTGTTTGAATTATGCCATTATTTTAAGATTCATTAATGTGATGGTAAAGTTTCCGTCCTTCAGCAAATGGTCACTGTTGAAATATGAACTCCTTCATTAAGGGAAATTAAGGAAGAAGTGTGATGGGCAACAGTGTGCTCTGAAATAATGTTCTTGTTGTATAAGCTTTGCGTTATGGTTTTACCCAGAGCAGGCAGCCAGGCTGGATCACCAGCAGTGTACCTGCTCAGCAAGCACGGCAGCTCCAGAGGATGTAGAAGTGAAAAAACAAGCTGTGGCAGGCAGCTGGGGCAAATGAATGAGAAGGGAAATGGCAAAAGAGCAAACCAGTGGGACACATCAGCACAGGTAAGCCCATGTGCACTACACAGCTCCGAGAAGCACCACCTTGCTCACGAGAGCATTTTGTGCACAGGGATGAAGATGGTATGGGAGTCAGAGACATTTGCAGTAGAGAAACTCAAAGCTACTGGCTGGAGAATTGGACAAATTGACATACTTTCATCAATAGAGCAGGCAAGAAAATGAGGTAATAATGAAAGAATTGAGCTAATCCAGGAGGTAGATGAGGTCTGAGTCTGATATGCTTTGTGAGTTTGATATGTCAAGAGGTGTGTTGACTGAGTTCTTCAATGACTGTCCATATGGACGTGCATGATAGGTAATAATAAGCACGGATTGATCAGAAAGACTTGCATTAAGTGTTCTTTCACCTTTAGACTTGTGGGTAGCTCTCTCAAATGCCATTTCACAGTCTGTGGGTTTGATGTGGTGACTGCCAAATGCAGCAGGTCTCAAGATGGGGAGCAAAGGGAGTTTCTTTTAGATCTGGGCTATCAGGAGGAAGAGGCAAGTTGCCAGGCTACAGGGGAAATGGCTTTTTGGGTGGTCAGAGAGATGGTGGGAAGAGACTGGACTGGGGAAGAAAGAAATACAAGGGCAGGAAGCAGTGGCTGGGAACAAGCAGATGTCTCCATGCTAAGCTAGAAATTGGTTTACAGTCCCTGCCCCACTCCTTTCACCACCTATCTCAAAACCTCAATTCTAATTTCTGCTCCTGCTGAGATGACCCCGCTTTATTGATTTCCTGAGATCCTATAGAAATAGCAATGAGCCGCACGAAGAAATGAGCAGTTTGCAGTATCACTGAGACACCCGTTTAGTGGCTCACAAACTTCCTCGCTGACAGCTGAAAAACTACCTGTCAGTGGGGAATTGTCATCCAACTGTTTTTGGTTTTTTTATTTCTTTTTTTTTTTTTTTTTTTTTTCCCCCGGGGGGGGTGAGTGGGGGGTTGAAAGTATTGGAATGGGGCCAAAAGCACTCTGTGCTCCTATCAGTGGTCTGAAATGGAGCGTAATTTCTTTACTGACAGAATGTGATGGCATAACAATTTGTAATGGGGAAATGACAGGGAAGGCAGGGCAGCCATGCAGGATAATCCAGTTGTGGTGGGAAGCAAAATGTACCCAAGAGAGGCCAGTTCCTTGGCTATGGGCAGCAGATGCAGAGTGGAGAATTACCTCACCCCTAGAGAGCTCCTTGGGCCTACACAATACCAGCGCCTGAATGAGCATTTGTAAGACAAAATCTTTGCTGATGGACATTGCTAAGGTGTAGAGAAGAAGGACTAGGAAGTATGAATAGGAGGGTGGGAGATGATGACAGACTGTCTTTTGTGCATCACCTGGCATTCTGTTGGTCTGAGCCTGAGAACATATATGAAGACGATGGAGAGGGGCAGAAAACATCCACAGCAGTGTTTGAGCACTTCTGCTGAGTCATGCAGTCAAGTTTATTTTAACAAAGATAGGAGATTAAAAGATGACTCGTCGATTCTTCATGTTGGGAAAAATAACAGGTACATAAAGCTTTCTTGTACTTCGAGACAAAACACGTCCCAAAGCATGCAGCTGAGCAAGGAATCCAGCCGAGCTCATGTTGGCACATTTACTGGTGGAAAGGCAGATCTCAGCCTCAAGTAACCTGCAAATCAATACCTGAAGACCCTGTGCAGGTCTGAACAGCACAGTTACAAGATTCAGGCCTCAGCTCGGTGTGGAGTTCTGTAAGGGGCAGTAAGTGAAACAAAAGGACTGGGATATTCAGGGAGCAATGGCCTTTCTGCCTTCCAGGGCAGCTCTGCAGGTATGCTTTTTATGCATTGATGCAAGCAAGCAGCAGTTATTTTCATCAGCAGGATCTTTTTGTGTTTGAAAGTGCTAGGGAGAATGTTAGCTGATTGGAGAGGTGTTCTCTTCTTAAGGAACATCACACTAGGAAAGTCAGCCATGGCTGGTTTTCTTTTCCAAGAAAAATAATGCAGAGAATTTCACACTTATACTACAGCATCTTTTATTTAACCAGGAAAAAAAAATCTTCAGAGGTGTTGCTACATCTGATTGCAAAAGCTTTAATCAGTCTTCTCTAGTTTTAGCTGCATTTGCTTCTGAAAAGATCGTCACCTCCCATTGGAAGTGCAGCAGAACATGGAGGGCAGCCATTACTCAGTTAGGGACGATTTGCTGTTGCTTCTGCCTGGTTAGTCTTCCCTCACTCAGCCGATGCCACTCAGAAAAGGGCTTTTGTTGAAAGGAGGAGATGCTTAACAGGCTTGACAGATTGCAGCATAATTGGCGTAATTCCCCAGAGGCTAAGACTCAGAACAACTTTTCAAAGTTGAAACAAAAGTAGTGCAAGAAATCCTTTTCTCTTTCACTTTGGCACACAGACCTCACCATAGATAGATTTGCTGGGAAGACTCAGCCATGAAAAGTATTTCAGAGCCCCTGATTAGACCCAGGTATGTTGTTCCCATTGCTTTCCTGCTACTTGTTATAATTATCTCCCTAAATTGATTTCCATTAATTGATTTGATTGAGCCTTTTCAGATGAAGGTAGTGTTTCTTCTGATACCTTAGTTCCAGTCATTCAGACCAGCTGCTACCTGTGACTGTCCCTGGCTTTGTTCTGTGGAGTCCCAAATGGTTATTTTTAATAGACTGCCAGAATATGCCCACTGCTCATGGGCAGAAAGAGAAACGGACTAACCATAGTGTATTCCTTGAGACAGAGACTTGCCTAGATTCTGGAAACTGAAGCTGCTGTTGAGCATCCCACATACAGAGGATAAGGAGCATGGCTCAGAGGGGCAGAGTAGATGTGTGAGAGGTGAGCAGCACCTGCAAACCTTAAGCACAAGAAATAAGCATTGTCAAACATATGAACAGAGAAGCTGTGGTGCCCCATTCCTGGAGGCACTCAAGGCCAGGTTGAATGGGGCCCCCAGGCAGCCTGATCTGTGAGCAGCAGCCCTTCCCACTACAAAGAGTTTGAGCTCAATGATCTTTAACATCACTTCCAATTCAAGCTATTCTATGATTCTCATTTGCTATCTGTACTCTATGTGCATCAGGCTGCTGATGGCAGCCCAGAACCAGCTGTTTACCCACTGCCTGTCCATCCCTCAGCTGTGGCATTTTGGCTTCTTCTCAGCCCCACAGCTCTACTCTGAAGAAAGCTGACAGTTTTCCTTCGCTGACTACCCAGAGAGGCTCTATGTGGTATTAAACACACAGTATTTGTGTTTGAGTCAGTATGTTTAAAATGTACTCTGAATGAAACAAAACAGTGTAAGGAGGTGAGTGCCTCATTCACCATATTATCTGCTCTCCCCCCATTTCAGAGTTGGGAAGTGCCGATCCCTCTTGTGTTCATTTTCCTGGAAAGTATAAGCCACTGCTGGAAAGAAACGTGGTTACAGGTCCAGATCCACCTATGGGAAGGGAGGGCTGGGAGCACTGCAGCACGGGCACTGAAGGATTTGTCGAGGTTTAATGTGGACAGGCATAGATGCAGCACGTGTTTGCCACAGGTGTGTTGGAAAAACACTATACATTGCCAGATTTTACTGCTGATGTGCTCTGTGGTTTAGAGGTCTCACTGTGCAGTGTCTTCCAAAATCTATCTAGATTACCCAGAATGTGAAAATCTATAATTGTTTCCAGATCCCCAGTGCTCTTTCAGTAGTCTGCCTTGACATGATGTCTCGTCCAATTTATAGGAGGGAGAGGTTTTTTGATATATATATACCCCATATGAGATTAAGAAACAACGGTTCAAATGTTGGTCCAACCAGTTTATTACAAATCTTAATCAGGAAGATGGGGAAGGGGAGAAGGGCGATAAAAGAGATAGGAAATAGAAGCAAGGAGCCTTTGTAGGAAGCAAGAGGAAAATAGTCATCACCATGGATCCAGCGTGGTTCGTAGTTCAGTCACTGATCTTTAGTAGCGGTGGGTCGTCAGGCGTTGTTGTTCCATTGACGACGACGATTTTTCAATGTTAGTACCAACTTATAAATAAGTCGACTTATAAGTAAGGTCAAGTCAGCTCTTTGGAGTGACAGCTCAAATCCAAAGTGGTTGAGTCAGCTCTCCTTGGAGTGGCAGCTCCTGGTTCTGAGGTCTCAGCAGAAACTCCTTTGTTCCCATCTTCTCGGCCTTGCCAGCAGGTAAGAGGGAGCAGGGATGATCACCTGCATCCTGTTTTTCACAGGACAAGATGGTATCATTCCCCAGTTTTCCCATACCAAGCTGGAACTATTTAGTCACAGGCCAGATCTTCCACCAGTAAACATTCCTGAGCACTCTCTTTCAGAGGCAAACAGCTCTGAAGGAAGGTGCTTTTTTTGAAGGAATGTCCACAAAGTGATATTGATTGTCACACAGTAGCACCCATCACTTGCCTCCTCAATAAATCAGTTAGAGTCTTCTCACAAGAAATACCTCAGGAAGCATGCTTTGAGCCAGAAAACAAAGAAGTGTTCTCACAGATAACAGTGCATACACTGGTTCTCATGCTCTTTTTATAGCATATAGTCCAAAATGCTGCTGTACAAAGTCTGCATCCAGTAGCTGAGCAGGTGGGCTCTCACAACTTCTAGCTGCATAATGGGTAACTGGAAAGGGCAGCTGATAACAGTTGCACAACAGACTGATAAGCCCCTATTGAAGCATTAGCAGGCCTGGATGAACTGCAGCATGGACTGGGCTGGCTTTGTAGGGAAATCGCTCTGTGTCTCGTCCCCAGTATGAAGTTTTCTTTCTCTCTCTCTCTCTTCCAAGAAAGAACGAGTCAGCCTTTAGGGGTGACTTCTTCCAAAAGATTCAGTGCTTGATTCCCAGTCTCAGTATTCATGCTCTCTCCTCAGCAGCTGTTTAGTCCTGGACGTCTGTTTCCAAGGGAAAGCCATCTGCCAGAACTCAACTGGCAACAGCAAGGGCTGCATTCGGGCTTAGTAATGTGAGCCTGAGAGAAAGAAAAGTTGTCCAAAATGTTGTTCTTGT